CATTATTGTTGGATAAAAAATATGTCTCGTCTCGTAAGCAGGCAGGTTGATAATCATCAACATTATCGATTCATTTGTGATAGATGTCTAAATTCATTCAAGTCTAAAGAATCTTTAGATAAACATTCAGAGTATTGCAGAAATTCAGATGCCATCAAAATGAATTTACCTAAAAAGGGTACAATTCTTAAATTTAAAAATTACAATCACTCAATGAGAATTCCATTTGTAATATACGCCGATTTCGAATGTTTCACAAAAAGATTAGCATCTTGCCAGCCAAATCCAAATAATTCATATACCGAAAAATTTCAATATCATAAGCCATCAGGATTCTGTTATTATCTAAAAACTATCAATGACATCTACGAACCCAAAATGATTTCATATACGTGTAAGAAAGACGAAGACGTCGGGCAAAAATTTGTAAATTCAATCGAAAAAACAGTTAAGAAATTATATTCCAATATTTGGTATAAAAAGGTTAAAATGACCACCGCGGATAAAGAAAATTATAAAAATTCAAAATACTGTCACATTTGCGAAGGTGAGCTAAAAGAAGACAAGGTTTTAGATCACTGTCATTTAACCGGTAAATATAGAGGTGCGGCTCATAATGTCTGTAATTTAAATTATAGAATTCCAAAACATATTCCAGTTATATTCCATAATCTCGCTGGTTAYGACRCYCATYTATTCATAAAAAATCTAGGCGTATCTGATGGACCGATAAACTGCATTCCAAATAACGAAGAGAAATACATATCATTCAATAAATCAATAAAAATAGGTGAGTTCGAAAAAGATGGTAAAACTTTTGAAATTAAAAGAGAAATCAGATTCATCGACTCTTTCAAATTCATGGCGGCCGGTCTGGACAGGCTGGTGGGAAATCTAAAAAATGAGAATTTCAAAAATATGRAGTGGATGTATGATGATATTGAATTATTAGTAAGAAAAGGYGTATTCCCTTATGATTATTTTGATTCAGAAGATAAGCTAAAAGATGAATGCTTGCCGCCTAAAGAAGAATTTTACAGTARATTAAATAACAAACATATTTCAGATTCCGATTACGAACACGCACAGAAAGTCTGGCGTGAATTTGAAATAAAGAATATGAAAGAATATCATGATTTGTATCTCGATTGYGATGTTCTATTGCTGGCCGATGTATTTGAGACTTTTAGAGATGTTTGTCTTAAGAATTACAAATTAGATCCCGTCTGGTATTATACTGCGCCCGGGCTTGCCTGGGATGCGCTGTTGAAATTAACAAAAATAGAATTAGAATTATTATCAGATCCCGATATGGTTTTAATGATCGAAAAAGGAATTCGAGGCGGAGTYAGTATGATTACGAAAAGATATTCAAAGGCTAATAATAAATATATGAAAGATTATGATCCCGAAAAAGAATCTATTTATTTAAAATATCTGGATGCGAATAATTTATATGGCTGGGCAATGAGCAAGCCACTGCCGGTTAGTAAATTCAAATGGATGAATAAGCGGGAAATTAAATACTGGCAAAGACATCCATGTATTCTAGAAGTGGATTTGGAATATCCAAATGAATTACATGACCTTCATAATGAATATCCTATGGCGCCAGAGGATTTATTGGGAAAATTAATACCAAACTTAAATAATAAGGCGAAATATGTAGTTCATCACCATATTCTGAAATTATATTTATCTTTAGGGATGAAAATTACAAAAATCCATCGGGGTATTACATTTATAGAAGAAAACTGGATGGCTGAATATATTAAATTAAATACAGATCTAAGAACTAAAGCGGATAACGATTTCGAGAAAGATTTCTTCAAACTAATGAATAACAGCGTCTTTGGTAAGACGATGGAAAATATTAGAAACCGTCAAGATATTAGGCTTGCMACYCGAAAAGATCAATTAAAGAAATTAACTTCGAAGCCTAACTTTAAAAGAAGAACAATATTCTCTGAGAATTTAATAGCGGTTCATATGGGGAAAACCCATCTTAAATTTAATAAGCCGATTTATGTTGGCATGTCTATTTTAGATATTTCTAAGTCTTTGATGTACGACTTTCACTATAATTACATCAAGCCRAAATAYGGAAATAGAGCTGAATTATGTTTCACGGATACGGATAGCCTTCTATACGAAATAAAAACCGATGACTTTTAYAAAGAYATWTATCCTGATYTAGAAGCAAAATTYGATACTTCGGCTTATGTTAATCACCCAATTATTGATAAAAAAAWTAATAAAAAGGTTATTGGTCTTATGAAAGATGAAACATCAGGAAATGAAATTACAGAATTTGTCGGTTTGAGGGCGAAGTTATATGCTTATAAGACAGACGGATATGTCGAAAAGAAATGTAAAGGGATTAAAAAATCTGTTGTAAAAGATACTATTTCTTTTGAAGATTATAAAGATTGTCTATTTACTGGAAAATCTCAAATGAGAAAGATGAACGTTCTTAGGTCGGAAGGCCATCAGATCTATGCCGAGTGTGTTAATAAGGTGGCTTTATCTAATTTAGATGACAAGCGGATTGTATTAAAAGACCAAATACACACGAACGCCATAGGTTACGTCGCATTTTCTGGAGGTAGTTGAGTATCCGTCACAACCTGTAATTCTTCTCTAACGAAATTCCGTTTCGGAGCACCTTCTGATAAATAATATAAAACCGGTTGATTCTCCGCAAAAACAGTTTTATCTATATTAAAAGTATCCAAAGACCAATTAGGATCTGTAGCTCGCTGGCTATTGCCACCCTCATATTCACCAGGCTGATATAAATACCTAACTGTTACGCTAGCCGGCAATCTTTCTTCTTTTAATCCAACGGGTCTTTTATATGTTACGTGTTTTTCATCAACATTATTTAATTTAATAGCTTCTAAAGGGGTTTTACCCGTAATTCTTTTAACGCCGCTGTTAATAGATTTTATAACCGATGGCAATCTTTTTACCCATTCGCGATTCCTATCATCACTT